CTCTACCTAACTGGGTAGTGCGATCCCTCGTGCAATGCGCAGAACTGCCGATGAGAGCGAAAAGCCGCTTTAACCTAACCCTAGAAGGCACGGCGTATACTGGCGTTGGGAAAAGGCAGCGAAATTGCTAAAATGCGCCGCTACGCGGCGTTTGAGCGCTTCGCGCGGATATCCGGCTGCAGATCGTCTAGCTGATATGGTTAGGGTTAGGGTTAGAGTTAGGGTTAGGGTTAGGGAGTAGGCGTAGGCGGTTCGCTAGACTCGTTAGTGGAGTAGGCGAGGTACGGTCCGGCATATTAGATAGTAGTATTTAGTACCAGGGTACGTTCCGGCAGTACCCTGGGGGGCATAGACCCTATCAGCTCTACGCATGGATCGTCATAGCGACGAACCAAACAGGCATGCAACACCACCCAGCAGGGGCGTAAATCCCGGGGGATGGGGGGATGCATCCCCCCGCTCTTGAAGGAGGGGGGGATGGCCTGTACAAATATCCCCCCTAAGATTTAAAAAAAAGAGAAAAAAAAGAAAGAAGGAAGAAGAAAGAAATGCGATTGTTTCAATTTCAGCATAATGCATGAGAAATGAGTTTTTTTAAATGTATGTATAACTGTATAGCCTACACGAACTCCAAATGCGGGATGAAATTGATGGACAAGGGGGGGGGGCGAAATTAACCTTGGCTGCCGCAGGCAGGCCCGCGTGCCGTAGGCATATTATGTATTGAATATATCAAGCTTCTTTGCAGCAGATAGAGAATTGTCTCTATCTGAGTGAGATTTACGGATTATTTAATTGAACACAATTTGCCTTTGAGGGCGGCAGACCACGCAAATGAACTCTTCAAGAAAATTTTTCCAGACAAATAGCCAAAAAGTATGGTTGCAAACATACAAAAACACGTGAAATTGTGAGAAATTGCAATTCTTACCTGTGTTTTAATACATGTATTATTACTATAGTAACCTAACTGTGTACGCTCTCTGAAAAGTCATGAAAAGTGTTTTGAATCCTAACTTGTAGGGTTGAGTCTAGGGTTGTGATAGTGTCATCAGACATGAGAATATGGCCCACAGTATGCCTCAGATTGCAGGAAAATGGCTGAAATATTTCAAAATTTTCTGGGGGGGGGCATGCCCCCAGACCTCCCTAGCATTGGCATGCCTACGGCACGTGGGCCTGCCTGCGGCAGCCAAGGTTAAAAGTGTGCCGTCTTCTTTCGGAGTTCATTATAATAAAACACTACAGTTTGCAGCTGTCAGTTATTTTGAAATATGTCCAAAATTGTTTACTTTATGGTTGTCAAATTTGGCATGTGCGTGCATTGTATGTATGCATGTATAAATGTTATGTACGTGTGTTTGTGTAGTGCTCGTGTGTGTGTGTGTGTGTGTGTGTGTGTGTGTGTGTGTGTGTGTGTGTGTGTGTGTGTGTGTGTGTGTGTGTGTATGTTCGTGCGTGCGCGATCGCGCGCGTGTGCGTAAATTATTGTGGGCTTGTGCTCGTGCTAGTATGTGATGGCTATCGCCGATCATCCCCCCCCCCACTCCTCGGTGCGGATTTACGCCCCTGCCACCCAGTCATGCGTAGTTTTGGCCCTACATAGTTCCGCTGTGCATACAGGTTTGCCCTGAGTGGGGCGTGCATAGTAGTCATGCGCTAGGCCCGTGTATTATTATCACTCAACTGCGACCGATGGCATGCACAGACGCTCACTCGTTGGCCTTGCGGATGGCATCATTATAGAAATTGCATGGAAACAGCGAGTAGAAACCAGTTGGAACCGGATCGTGGGACGCGACAACAACATGCGTGGGTAAAAAAACCCAGCTCGGTTTTGTCGTTTCATTTTTGCGTTACCCCCATTCGGCACGGTTTATGACAGCCAAAACAACACCCACAGGGAATCTTTTAGACTTTTACTATAGCTATATAACTGCTGTTCATTCGTGCTTTCAACGCACATCTATATGTATCAGGAGTAGATAATAGGGATTATCTATTCCTAGTCCCTATTATCTACTCCTGATATGTATGCATTTATTAACGTTTAAGTGCCGGCTGTGGTGTCGCTCTGGTCGTACCTATCGTGTTTTATTCTCATGTTTATTATTTCTCGTGTTTATTTATTTTTGTTCGTGTTATTTTCGAGTGACGTGCCTATATGTGTTTCACGCGCGCTGTCATAGCGGTAAGCGTAGAATGCTGAAAACAGCAGGTGCGTTCGTAATACGGTAAGGTAAACATTCAATGAATAATCCTTTATAATGCACCGGATTTAGTTTAGCCGCAACCACTGTATGAATGAAATATAATCCTTATTATTGTAAATAAAAATTGCCTCAACTCTATTGAATCGTTTGCACACGCGTTCCGTGTAATGCGTGTACGCCATTTTGTTCCGTATAACTTGTACCGTATAACCGTACATTCTTTTCAAAAGGAGACAGTTCAGCCCCGGGATATTATTTTTGCTAATGAATCAATAAATTCGGTATGCAATAATGTACGACCCCCTATGAAACACGCAGCGATTTAGTGCAGTGAGTGAACGCACATACAGGCCATCAGGGGTCCATATAATGACAAATTCATTTGCAATTATCCTATCATCGCCCGCATTCGTTTGTCGCTTCATAGTGTAATGAGCAGGTATATTCTTTGCTATTGTATTGTATATATTATTTTGTTAGCGTACCTAAATCTTTTTTTCTGATATATGGAACGAATTTCGATTAGCGGCTGCCATGCGTTGTCATGCGGCCCAAGTAACTGCGCTTGTGATCTCTACTGGCCACTCTAGCGCTTTCTTTCGCCATATAGACGGAGTAAGTTTCTCACGTGATGACCGAAGACACCCTGAGGCTATACTGCATGTATAATGCATGCCCGCTCGCCACTACCGACTGCTTTCGGGTATATACGATTACACGTATTACTGCTAGGCGTGCCATTTACTAGCACGTCGTCATCACGCACCTGTGACGCGGCAGCCAATGCTGCGAGTGGAAGCGTCGATGCCTAAGCAAGCAGTTGAATCTAGGCTAGCAACCAAGCGCTCGCTCAGCAGACGACAAGAACCGCTGGAGAGAGAGAGAAACACCAGCTACTCGGCGTGAATTTCGCCTAAAACACTCGAGTGTTTAATGTTGCGACAGAGAGTGAGAGAGGGTTCAGCGATCGCTAGTACTAGTGCAAGCTCACCGGCCACCAACCTCCACTTATCCACGTGTATAGACGAAAAAGTGATCACATCGCAGCAACGCCTGCCTTCTGTTGAATATCCAGCGCGTGACTACCAGCGTCGCCCCGGACACCGATACCAACGAATCTCAATCGATTTTTGCAGCGTTGGATGTTATAAAAATAGAAGCAAGCGGTGCGCGTGGAGGTGCGTGCAGGAGGAACTCGTCTCTAGGCGCGCAATAACGCAGTAGGCAGGAAGGAGGAGGAGAAGCCGGATCCACAGAGGAGACGATCTTGTACGTTCTCGTTATAAACGACGTTTCTCGTGCTCAACGTATGATGTCGGTTATAAACGTGTTGCTAGTTGTAGCGGCACCAAACTGACCCAGAATTCGCTGCTACATGCATGACACAGCGTGAAAAAACCCTTACGCAGGGACCAAGTCCACGCGAATTCGCCGTGGTGACCATGCAGAAGAGTTGCAAGGCGAGGTAAGGTATTTGCGCATATACGAAGTAACATAATGTAGTGAGAGATACTAGTTCTTGTAGGAAATGCGCCTTTTGTGTTTCGCGCGTTTGTTGCGTGTGTGCGCGACACGTTATTGAAGCATTTACGTGCGCGTAAAAACATTCTCTAGTGGAGTTATCGTACAGAGTCATATTGTAGTGGCGATTTAATTGCAATATGCGTTATTTGCATCTAAGTTCAGCGTAAAGGATGTAGATTGCAGTGATACAGCGTATTCAACGCAATCAAATTGCGCTTGCATTCTTAGCGTTTCGTAACGGGGCTCTAAATTCTAGATTGATTCTTCTGTTTGATTCTAGCCTTGGTGATTAATTGCCACTGGGCTGTTTATACCTTCGTGATATTCCCCACATCTGCTCCATGTCAACGAACAGCCATCATTGGGTAGGTATATAGCTGAACACAATGACGTAATCATGTGCAGGGTGGTCGATAGAGGCACACGTAGCTGCGTACTACTGGAGGTAGTAGTCAGATCGAGGGCATTAGCGTTTCCCAGCTGATTGATCTTTAATTTACGTAGTGGCCCACGCACACGTATGCGTCATACACGCGTATGCACGCACGCACGCGCGCATCAGTGTGTGTGTGTGTGTGTGTGTGTGTGTGTGTGTGTGTGTGTGTGTGTGTGTGTTGATTGGTTATAACATAAACCACGTGATAAAATATGCAAATTATCTCCTGTACCGGCCTGAATATAGACAAACCCAATCGCTCCCCGCATTCTCACCACAGAGATCACGTGACTATCGGCTTATATTAGATTGCGCCGCCACAACAAACAAGAGAGCAATTTTCATCTCTGTGATGAGATTGCGCTCCCCGGTCACTGTGAGGGCGAGCCCACAATGTAGGGGTGGTCGGGTAGGGTAGGGTTAGGGTTAGAGTTAGGCCTACCCTACCCGACACTACCCTACCCGACCACCCCTACACTGTGGGCTCACCCTCACAGAGTGCCCGGAGATTGGTTGTACCCAAAGTGAAGCATCACGTATTTCAGTACGATTTCAGCAGAAAATGTTGAATCTCCAAATAGCTTATCTACAATTTAGCGCATGAAGGTGTTGTGAGAAGTTGGGAAGTGATTTTACGTCAGTTGATTCCCCAATGTCCTTATCGGTGTCATAAGCATTTGGAGAAATGAAGATAGCAATGCATATTTATACTGATTACTTATTGAAATGCACCCGTAACGCAGATATTCGCGAGATTGTACGTGGGTGATGAAGCCTGTCGAGAAATTAGAGACAGTAGTTAGGTAGACATTAGGGAGCTGCGCGGATTTCTTATCATGTAGTGTCATGATGACGGGTTGGTGCAGGTAGTGAAGGTTTGCGATTTTTCATAAAGTCTGGGCAACACCAATAGCTATATACCCGCAGTGTTTTAGACAAGCGCGGATCCAGCGTTTAAAGAAAGAGGGCGCCCTGCAAGCAACGTGGTTGTGGAGCCCGCGTCGGGGGGGGGGGGCAATATAAACCTAAATGTATTTATCTATAGGTGGGGCAGCTTATATGTATAGGGGCCTACTCAGCTGTTTATATGTCACAACGTGTTTTTATAACGCGTTTTATATTTGGTTAAAGAAATAGAAAGAAATAGAATAAACTTTTATAAAAGCCTACAGAATGCGAAGTGATTGGCTTTGACTTGGAGAAGCGACGCCACAACATTATAAGACAAACAAGTTTTGCTTGGCAAAAAAGCGCCCGCCGCGTCCCCTTCAATCCGCACATGTTAGATGAAAGACATCAATAGCGTATGAAGTATATTCATAATACCAAGAGTAAGATAATAACCCATTACCAATAATGGGTATTGTAAAGTACATACTTAATACGCTCTTGAAGACATTCACAAGGAGCCACGAGAAATGTGACCTATATAAAATAAAAAAATACCGCGGCTTAGAAAGGCAGAGCAAGTTCGTTTTGGCATCCCATGTGTAAGCGAATCTTAGGGCAATGTGGCTGGCAGTCACCAAGCGGTATCAATTTCCCCCGGGCGTAGTGGGAGGGTGCCGCTACGTGGCAGCACTAATGTTAGGATTAGGGTCAGGGTTAGGGTTAGGGTTAGGGATAGGCCGTTAGGGAAATAAGGCCATGTCTAGCATGGAAGTATGACTGTGGAATGACGGAAGTGTACGAAGTGACTAGTGCTGCCACGTAGCGGCACCCTCCCTCTACGCCCGAGGGAAAGTGACACCCGTCGCCAAGTAGTACTCGTTGTGCTTCAAATACGGATGGCCGAGGAAATACGAAATTCCTCGGGGTTACTGTCCGATTCAGAACTGACAGAAGATACGTCAACACGTAGTTCGGCCATTCATTTATGTGAAACAAGTGAGCACGCGCCACTCAACAAACACGCAAGCATTGCGGGAGAATTATGGCGGCCTGTACAAAAGCTGGCGTCGTCCAAGATCGATCAAAAACATCATCAAAAGCAGGTTTGATCATAATATGTTCTAAAAATGTCAGGAAACATGTTTAAAAGTAATTACAATGTCATATGATAGGCTAAATACGTTCTAGATGTCAGAATCCCTTTAAGACATTCGCGAAACTGCATGCCCATTAATTATAAGGTGTTTCGGATATATATATATATATATATATATATACATATATACATATATATATATATATATATATATATGTGTGTGTGTGTATATATATGTGTTGGGGTTTGTGTGTGTGTGTGTTGTGTGTGTGTGCGGTGCGTGCGTGCGTCGTGCGATCCGTGCGTGCGTGCGTGACGTGGTCGGTGTGCGTGCGTGCGTGCGTGTTCGCGTGCGTGCGCGTTGACGTGGCGTGTGCCGCGCGCGTGTGCGTGTGTGTGCGTGTGCGCGCGCGTGTGCGTGTGTGTGTCTGTGCGCGCGCGTGCGTGCGCGCGTGTGTGTGTGTGCGCGCGCGCGTGTGTGTGTGTGTGTGCGTGCTTGCGTGTGTGTATGTGTCGGGCTACCCCTATCAGAGTTCACTATATTTTTCGACTTTTTATGATGTTTTCATGATTTTACGTCTTTTTTATTTGAAGTTATATATTATGCGTATGCTTGTTAATCGTCACTTCTTTAGACTGGAGGTTAAAGTTTGCTTTACGGACAAGGTTAGGTTTCGATATATCGATAACCAAATATTGTTGCCAACCAAGATCCGCATGGCATGAGTAAAATAAGTCGTGGGCCTCTACTAATGCTCATAGGGTCTATGTCCCCCAAGGTACTGCGCGGAACGTACCCTGGGTACGGTACGGTATACCGGACGTACCCTGGTAACTATCCAGATGAGACGGGATACTAGAGAAGCGTTGCCGAAAGGAGGTGTTTATCCGAAGTGCTGCGCGATCTTGCGCGCAGTTCGCGGCAAGGCGCCACGCGACCGCGGAAAAATTCCTACGACAGTATGCAGCGCTGGCAGCTATGGATCTGTGCGCCGAATGCATAGGCCGCGCACGAATCCATAGCTAGCCAGCGAACAGTCCGCAATTATTAGTGGGGGACAAAGAGGGCAGACATTTGGAACCTGAACAGTGTCACTTGTTATAAAAACTGTAACGAGTAATGTGTTCGTAACCGAGCTGTGTCACGCGAAGTCACAAGAAGACTGTAGAAATTCTGACATTCGCGAACCTTGCCCAGTAATGGAAATGGCTGTCAGTCAGGAAACCCACCTACGCCCGCTCTTCGTGACCTCATTGTTGCGCCCCAACGCCGGAAACGTTTTTTGCAACGCGTTGCAATGGCGAGGCTCGGTACAGGAGTTGCAAAGCAGTGCGCCGCTGCCCGCCCCTATAGCCATAGACTGGCACTCGCATCCCACCTCTCGGGTTAGCTTAGTCACTCGATGGCTAATCGAGGTGGAGCGAGTCCTAGTCATATATAGGCTTTGCACTCGCAACCTTCTCGAAAGAGAGTAGGGGCTATACTGTAGAAACATTTAAGAATTTGGTAGTAAAATATTATAGATTTCGTATTTAGCTTAGCATTATATTTTATTTGAAACGCTGTCAAGTGCCTGTGTCTAGTATAGGGGTATTCTAACCCTAGCAAAGAGCCGCTTTCTGGAGCTAGTAGTAGTAGTAGTACTAGTATAGTAGTATACTACTAGTACTAGTAATTAGTAATACTTTACTTTATTATTAGCCTCCTGCGTCCTGTAGTAACTATACTATAGCTACTAGTAGTGCTGGTAACTTAGTAGTATCTACTACTAGTAGTATTTATAGTACTAATTACAGTAATTATTGTAACATGTACTTGTAGTAATAAAAGTATTCGCTAGGTGTGGAAATGACCAAAGTCTAAGTTTAAAATAGCGGCGAGCAAACAGCGCGACCCGAAAAACTCGTAGCCAATGGTATCCTTACAGCCTCGTTGCCCTATATATCGTATCCTCTAAGCTCAGCCAGTCAACGCCAACGCATTAGCGCATATTATTTGTTACAATGTCACGTGAACAAAAAACTCCGTTATTACAGCAAAGAAAGCCGCGCCTAGTAGCGAACAACAAATTGCGGAGCTTTTCTAGCCGTCTCTACCTAACTGGGTAGTGCGATCCCTCGCGCAATGCGCAGAACTGCCGATGAGAGCGAAAAGCCGCTTTAACCTAACCTAGGAGAGCACGGCGGTATACTGGGTTGGAAAAGCGCGCGAAATTGCTAAAATGCGCCGCGCTACGCGGCGTTGAGCGCTTCGCGCGGATATCCGGCTGCAGATCGTCTAGCTGATTATGGTTAGGGTTAGGGTTAGAGTTAGGGTTAGGGGGTAGGGAGTAGGCGTAGAGCGGTTGCGCAGTAGACTGTTAGTGGAAGTATGGCGAGCGTACGTCCGGCATATTAAGATAGTAGTATTGAGTACCAGCGGTACGTTCCGGCAGTACCTGGGCATAGACCTATCAGCTCTAGCGCATTGATCGTCATTAGCGACGAACCAAGTACAGGCCAATGCAACACCACCCAGAGGGGCGTAAATCCCGGGGGATGGGAGGGATGCATCCCCCCGCTCTGCAACAGAGGGGGGGATTGGCCTGTACAAATATATCCCCCCTAACGATTTTAAAAAAAAAAAGATCAAAAAGAAAGAAGGAAGCAAGAAAGAAATGCGATTGTTTCCAATTTCAGCATCAATG